GTACTAAATAGTCGATCGATAATCTGCTACATTTACCCCATAGATTCTATGGTACCGCACTGTTCAAAATATTCAAATTCAAATATTTTTCTGAACATGGCTAGATAAATCAAATAAAAACAGATATTTGTTTTACTAAATACCATAATGAGTAATTTACTTTGGATATTTTATGTATCTTTACATATTATACGGGTTCCGTATATTTTTACATCTTTAACCTATAAATGTATGAAAATCTGTCATCCAATCATTACACGATAAAATCATTTAACCTCCTCATATTTTATTTATAAATTTTGTTACCTATTAAAATCCCCACAAATTAAAATTACAATAAATATTCTTAAAACGTACTCACCCTTGTCCTTTCCTCTTTTCTTCCGCACTCGCAGACATATCGTTCGTGAGCTGACGCACTAGGGAAATAAATAGATCGATTAATCGATAAGCAAATTGATACTTACTTTACGTATCCTTAACTATCGAAACATACTTGAAAAATTATAAAACTTATGATAAGTACGTAATTTTTAATATTTGTAGTAAAAGGTATTAGGCATAATTTACATATAGTGTATAATAAGGTAAATAGTAAACAGTATAGATATTAATACATAAGATATAGTATTCATAGGGATATTCGAAAAATTTCTAGAAAACTTTTTACTTTTTACTTTTGCAAAGTACTGCTTGACAAATACTACTTCCAATGAAACGTCGAATCGATCTAATTCCTCGATTAAAGAGAAAAATCTAGATCCGATTAATAGAAAGAACGTTGTTTCCCAGTAAGAAACAGAGATTATACATATTTCGATAAGAAAATAGGTTATAAATCTTCAACATTCATGTATCAATAATTTATTTCATTGCACTTATGTTCTGATTTTACAGAATATTATTTTCTCATAATAGGAAATTAAGTACTCTCCAGAAGCTTAAAAAATTAACTCAGAAAATGGAAGAAAGGTACGAAAAGTAACAGTGAATGTGAATATTGTTTAATGATACGCTAACTCTGGAGAGATACAGTATTCTCGAGTATTTCCAACATTTTACTACAAATTATCCGAACAATCTTATAAATGAACGTTAAATACCTGACATATGTATTGAATGATTTCCGATTGACTGGAATTTTCCAGCCTGCTACCGTTAACTTCTAAAATTTCGTCGACCGCTTCCAACGTGTCCCTGTTGTTGGCCGGAGAACCTGCAATACATTTGGAACAATTCCCATTATTAAAAAAATATAAGTAAGTACTCGAAGAAATAAGAATCAGAATAATCTAATCATCAAACATTTACGAATTCGATATGTGTATAATGTGTTACAGTGCATATGTGTATACTACAACTATAATGTATCAGAATTTGAATCCGAGTAGAGAGAGAGAGAGAGAGAGAGAGAGAAGTATGATATAAAAGAACGAGTCTAAGTAGAAAAAGATGATACACGAACAGACAGTAGATACAGACTATACAGGACGAACAGACTAGCCAATTCGTTTGTATGTCAATGATTACACATGATAGCATCCTCGAGGAAAAGACACGAGAAACAAAAGAGAGAAAGGGTTTCACAGTTCACGCCTACGTGCTTGACAAGCAGCTTTGCTGACGCTCATTAAACTGCATGTAGCTGGTGCTAATTAAAAAAGGAAGAGAGAGAGAGAGAAAAAAGGAAAAGAAAATAAAAGAAAAAGAAAATGTTTTTTAACTTTATGACGATAAATAAACAGCAGAAGTTTGTTAATGACGCTGCTCATCGATGCTCACCGTACAGTTTGATCTTGTCATTCTCGTTGATCAATATGATAATATATCCCCCTAGATCGATCATTTCTCCTGGCTTCAACGATAGACACTGGTCTACTCCATTACCAGGAGAAAACGATGCTTCAGGCGAATCTTGACGCGACATGCTTGATTAAAGTCGATGATAGGCGCAGCCGCCCTATCATCACCGAAAAAACGATTCGCCGATATTAACGTCGTTACCGCGTCCCATTCTTTTCGTTTCCTCTTGCATCTTCGCATCTCATTTTATATATCCATCGATATATCACGATCTATATATACTACTAACAACATCCACGTTTTCCTAGACGTAAACGCATTCTATCTTCCTTCTTCCTCTCTTTCGATTCTATTTCTTCTTTATTTTTTTTTTTTTGCTTCTCTATTTTTCTCCGTTTTTCAGGTTTTAAGACTGGAGCCAAAATTTTTCGACGACGGGTTTGACACAGTTTTCGCTCGGCTGATTCGAACCGATGCAATTGTCGAGCCGCCCCGGGAACTTTCAACTTCACTAACAATTACCTAAGGTTGTTATATTTACGTACACCGATTAAATGACTAAAACGACAAGAGAACTAGCGGCGGATATTCCTTAAAAAAACGTTGCTAACGAACACGTAGCGTTATCCGATCGTTCCTCTTGATTAAGTACGTTGGTACTTAATATACTTTCGGTAGGGTCTGCTGCAAACTCGAAAAATCACAGGAGGAATAATATCGTTCTTTTTTATATATTTCTCTTTATATATTTTAATACGAGTACGAGGGATTCGTAATGAAGCTTCTTTTAACGTTCGTTTTAGTTTTGGTTAATACGAGCGATTCGGAAGAGTCCTTGGAGGAAACCCTCACTGGGGCCCCGAGTATGGGCCCCCCTACATCCTTGCAACGAAGACTCGCTTCTCGAACGATCAACAAATTCAGAATCCCTCGAGTCCTAGCTTATTGATTAGAGCTTTCACTGAACGCGACTCCTCGCTTGCTTCGGTCATCCTGACTGCTCGCATCCTTAACTGCATGGGTCTGTTCGGGTGGCATTCGGGAACCGCGAAGGAGCCTCGATTCGGAGTCGAGACCGGACTAACACGGGCTATCCTCATGCTAACTTCCCCTCACTTTCGTCGACGGTAGGTCCCAATCAAATGCACGTCCTACGATGGAATTTCATTACACAAGAGAGCACTGTTGCTTTACAGGCCGTCGTTTCTACGTGATTCTGCCTCTCGCCTCTCGTTTGTTGTCTACATCATCTTCATTCTATGCCTCCCTCGGCGGAGGATACTTGCGACATCTCGATCAGGCAGGATCAAAAGAGGATTTCACCGTGAAACGATTAACCTGTATTCCCGATGAACGTTCGCAAATCTTTATCGTGCTGTAATGATTAACGTATCTTCTGTTCTTTAGGTTTGACTGTACGATCTCGCGAATTAGAAACAAATTCGGCCACCCTATTCAGCTCCAGAAGCACATCACTTTTCGCTCTATTCGATTATTTCCAAAGATTCTGAGACACGAGCCATTCGCATCGATTCACTACACTATGGAACTGACTCCTGAAGAAGATCGTCCCATCAGTTTCCCGCGACACCGAAGCTCTAAAGTGTATTGTCGAGGATGGGTGTGAACCTGTGCGTGTTAACCGACGGCGGCAGCAGCCCTGACATCGCTTGTCGTCCGCTGATCTCCATCCCTCGCC